ACGGGCACTCCTTCCCAAGAAAGGACTGCCTGGCACCAGGGATGATATATTTAAATTCATTGTAATTAAAGGTAACACCATCTTCAAGCCAAGTTCAACTCCTGATGAGTACAGAGGCAGAACCATGCAAACTTATTGGCGACAGTGTAGAAGTGTTTGTTATTGCTTTATTTTCATATATTATCTTTATCAATATTTCTAGTTTAGTCTACAGCCTTGGTGATCTCCCATCCAAGCATTAACCAGGTTTGACCCTCCTTAGCTTCTGACCTAGACTAAATCATCCAAGTGCTGCCACCTGCTGAAACATGTTTCAATTACAGCTCTCCTAACCTGATTTTTTATGGGTATCCTAAGTTGTTGTATGCTTAATATTAGGATCAGGATAATGAAGATGATGGCAGTGAGGTGAGATATGGAATTAAGAGATGGTTGATTTTATTTTAAGAGATGGTGATAAGCTATTAATGTTGATTATACTTCCTGGAGATGAAGGAGGAGGTTTCTTCTTTTTTCTTTTCTTTTTTCTTCTTTTTCTGCACTTCATTTTTTTTAAAACTGTTTTTCTTTTTATATATTTTTATCCTATGTAGACTGTATTAGTTTTATCTGTGTAATGTAATATTTAATAAAATTATTATTTTTAAAAAAGGATAATGAAGATGATGGCAATGATGATGTGACCCAGACACGTCTTTTCTGCTGTGGCTGCCACCCTCTGGAACATCATTTGCCCCAAGGTGAGGTTAGCTCCATCCCTGTTAGTCTTTTGGAAGGCCCTGAAAACATGGTTCCTCCAGCAACCTTGGGAATCCCATGGGGATCCTGCGCGATGTTTGCATGGCATTTAGATGGATGTTCTCCCGCAATCTTATTTTATTTTTTTTTAAGTGTTTTAATAGTCTTGACATTGTTTTAATTGTTGGTTATATGCCACCCGGAGTCACGTTCAGTGAGATGGGTGGCCATGTAAATGTGTTGAATAAAATAAATAAATGATGAGGATGATGTAGTATGCACAAATCATTTTAACTAAAAGTCAGTTCTGAAATCTTTCAAATGAGCAAACATGAGTTCCCAGCATTTCATCCAATGAGTTAATTGATGGATTGATTAAAAGAAAAAGAGTTAGGTAACTGCTTTTTACTAATTAATACCAGAGATATTGGCAATTGCCTTTACAGATAGCAACAGCTTGGCAAATCTGGTTCTCTTTAGTTCTTCGCAGCTCTAGTTCCTAAAGTAGCTGAAAAGCTTCCTTCAGCTGTTAATGCAATACTGACCTCTCTGTTTCCATGGTAGCCCTCATGCAGCCATCTCTGTCAACAATCTGCTACCAGTTCTAATTTAATCAGGCTCATTCTATTAATAGAAAGATTCCGCAGGCAGCTATTCTATTCATCTCATTCAAAATATGAAGATCTGTTATTGCTGAAAAAATCAAATAGCAGACAAGTTAGCACCATTCCATTCAGGGGTTCATTTCAGAAGCTCTTTGACATTCCACTCTCAGGAGAAATTCACACAATCCTTACTGATGTGTCCAAGGTTTGCAATAGCGCAAAACTTTTTTTTTTTTCCTGTCCACATTCAAACTAGCTCTCCCCCCCATCCCCCACTTCTTTCATTTTCCTTGCTACAGAGAGAAAGAACATGTCTCCGGAATTCCCTTTCATCTACTGTACACCCAGCATCATCAATTTAGGTTGTTAAATTGATTTTCAAGACCCATTTATTTTAGGTGGCCATTTCCTAAGATTTTATGGTGCTTTGATGATGTTTTAGAAAGCTCCTGCTGATTTTTAATGGCATGATTATTATGGCTATTAAAAATGGCCTGGAATTAAATCATACTGCTGTTTTAATTGATTGCTTTCTGGAACTTAAATGCATATTATACTTCTGTGCATGCCACCTTGTTAGTAGTAGGGGATTTTTTTTCATTCTAAAATTATTTCAATAAGCATTAGACTTGATTCCCTGCTTAGCAGATATAACTCATATTCCAGAGTGTAGGGCTAATATCCATTAAGCAAGTGGGAAAATGCCAGGGTCTGAACCTGGAATTCTGTGATCTGTGTATCTGGTTATTGGTCTATGGCCATGATATAATCAGGTGTCAAAAAGATCAACTTCTGAATGTAACAGAGAATAGAAGAATTCATTATTAACCCATGCAATTGCAACCAGATGGTCACATGAAATTCCTAGATCATCTTGAACTCAAAGTGATAATCAGAAGTAGACTGGTTATGTATCATCTAGCAAATTTAACAGAAGACATTTCCGAATTCTCATCTGAAACATTAGTGTGGTAAGCTGAATAAGAAAAGACTTACCAACAGTAACTTCCCTCTGGAATCCATATAATTCACTATAAATAATTATATTTTGGAAGGAGAGAAGGTAATGAATAAGTTGTCCATGAAAAACAATAAGCATTAGCCAATGTGATATAGTAATTAAAATGTTGGACTAGGACTAGGGGAACCCAGGTTCAGGTCCACCTTCAGCCATGGAAACTCCTTGGATGATTTGGGGGCCAATCACTCTCTGTCCAGACAACTTCACAGAATTGTTGTTGGGGGAAAATTGAGGAGAGTGTATTATGTATGGCACCTTGGCCTCCTAGTGAAAAGGCAGGATATAAATATAACAAATATATACAAACATAAATATATTTCTTGAGAGAGACCTTCTCCGCTTTCTAGGTGACAGTTTCATAAAAAGCTGGAAACAAGATGATGTGCTGCTGTATATAAATGGTTTGATATACAATTAACCAGAACAATATCATCTCTCTTTTTGTTGTAATGTGGACAAACACTCTTTCATTCCCATATAATTGCCAAAGTTTTCTTCACCTGCAACAAAGAAAATCTAAGAAGACTTAGCACAAAGGATGCTATTGTGTGGTGTCTCAGGTGTTGGACCAGGACTGGGAAGACCTAGGTTCAAGTCCACGAGTCACCATGGAAACCCACTGGGTGACTTTGTCACTCCATCTCAACCTAACCAACTTCACAGAATTGCTGTTGTGGGAATAAAATGAAGGAAAATCCCCCTGAGAGCCACCTAGGGCTCTTGGAGGAAAGGCAGGATATCAATCTAGCAAATCAATCAATAAAAACATTCTTGTCTGAAATGGTTGCAGTAGCAGAAGTCTTTTTGAGAAAACAAACAAAAAATGCAGAAGTGAAGTAAGCCACAGCATTCATTTTCCTAGAACAACAAACTAATTGCTTTCCAAGACAAGTAGAGTTCAATCATTTTGGTACAGGGTATTAGTTCTTAGGAAGCAAAGTATGTAGGATAGGATATACCAGGTTTGGTAATAATGCTTACGAAAATATACTGGAATATTTGGGGTGCCTTCAAGTCACTCTTGACTTCTGGTGACTGCCTGGACAAGTCCCTGCAGTTTTCTTGGCAAGATTTCAGAAATGGTTTGCCATTGCTTCCTTCCTAGAACTGAGAGAGAATGGCTCAAGGTCACCCAGCTGGCTTCATGCCTAAGATGGGACTAGAACTCACAGTCTCCCAGCTTCAAGTCCAGTGCCTTTACACCAAACTGACTCTCACTGGAAGAATAGTTTATTGCAAGTTGAGTATGAGCCAGCAGTATGATATGCTGCAAAAAAGGCAAATGCAATTTTAGGCTGCATCAACAAAAGTGTAACTTCCAAAACATGGAATTTAATTGGTTCAATCTATCCTGCATTGGTTTGACCACTCCTTATATACATTATCCAGTGTCAGACACCATTCATTAAGAAGGATTCAGAAAAATTGGAACAAGTTCAGAGAACGGCAACTAAGATTATCAGGGGACTAAGGAAACTAAGCCCTACTTAGAGAGCTGGATATGCTGAGCCTTGAGGAAACAAAATAGAAACTGAACAGATTAACTGTTGAATTTTTAGTCAACACTAGCCATGCGATAATGTATGCAAAGGCTGCAGGCTAACTTAGGGGAAATAAGGAAGTCTTTTGTGGTAGAAATCCCCAACTCCCATACCAGCTAGTAACTGAGGCCCTTGCTGTCTCACACTACCTAAGAACAGAGTCAGTCACGACCAAAACTATTAACCCACCATTCTTCTGACCTTTGAAAGATTGTGGGAAGGAAGTGGGAAAGGAGTCCAGTTTAGGTGAGAGGAAGCCATTCAAAGAGATTCTGCCTAGATCAACTCAGATAAGTCTGGCTGGGAATTTACTCTTATTATTTTCAATATTATGTTTTCACCCCAGGCTTTAGTATTAAAGATGCCTTTCTCAAATCCATGAGGTTCATGCTTCTTTGGTTTGCCAGCGACTTGGAATTTGACATGATTCAAGAATGGATGACCAGCAGCCATATCACAAGCTTTTCAGCTGCAGAAACAAAAAATAGGTTTCTCTATATTATAAAAAATTATAATATAGAGAAGCCTCCACAAGGGGGAGACTTCATCTCACTAGAGCCAATGTTTTACTTAAAATGACATTTCAGTGATTTTTGTAAAAGCACAAATGGAATGTTGACTCTCTCAATTAAGGTATCAATTAGAATGATGAGAAGAAATTTCATTAGTGGATGATAACATTCCACCTGTTTAAAAAATAAATATTTGGAAGGGCGCATACTGTTTTATCCTTTTAGCTGCGTGCAAACTGGCCCGTCTACAGATGACTGTTTCTATGCCAAAGGTGTTTAGATGGAGTAATGAAATTCAAAATTCATGAGTCATTTTTCTGGCAAAATGAAAGAATCATCAATAATGGCCATTCTTCTTGCTGCCATTGCCTTCCTGTTCACCAATGTTTACTCAGAGCAAAGATGTTGCCAGGCACACATTCCAATCATTTCATAATTGCATTCAAACCCCAGCATTTACTGAAGTTAAACATTTACCAGACTGGTTTAATGCAGGGCCAGGAAATGCGTGTGCATTTGTCATGTTGAAATCAATAACAGATTGGCTAGAATGTGCTGGGCTTCAACGTGCCTCCTTTCTTACGTCAATAAAGCCCAGTAGCAGACCTTTTAGCTTGTAATTTCCATCTCTATACTCTGACCTGCTCCCTTGTGATGTGGCAGAACAAGTCAACCACTTGGATGGATGCCTGTACTCCGACAGCCCAAAGGTAAGACACCGTGTTTTTATGATACTTGTAAAAAGAGAAGCAATTTTCCAAACATCATCCCCCAGTTTTGCTTGTTAAGAATTCTAATGTATTGCTTTGTTGTTTGTACTATTTCCATAAGATGAGTCATGTAAGAATAAAGAGACTGTACCCAGATGACTGAGTTGGCATTGCTGCCATGAAAAGCAGCCTTCCTTATCTGGTGCTGTCTAGATGTATCAGTTTATAACATGTTAGTCATGATGACTGTGGATGATTGCTATAATTCAACTCTTTGAGAAGATGCCACCTTGGGAAAGGCTGTTAGGGTTTATTCCAAGATGAACACTTTGAGGAATCTCTCCTCTAGATGTATTTCTTCCCAAAGAATCATATTCCTTCTTCCTTGAGAGGAAAGAGGAACAACTGAATTATTTTAAAGCAAAACCTGGAAATGCTGTAATTTAGATATAGCCTAGAAAAATAGAAGCTTATTTAAGCAGATACAAACAACATTTTGCAACCAGAAGTCCACATTTAAAATATTTTTTAGTCTTTAAGACCTGGGGAAGGGTTGTAACATCCTGAGGGACTAAGCAGAATCTTTGCCCCTTGTTGTGGTTGGTTTAATAAACCATTTGTCTTCTTAGTTGTTTAAAAAATGTCAGTCAATTCACAGTTGGCTATTGAAGTTGAAAGCCAGTGTAGTGTAATGGTTAAGCTGTTGAAGACAGACCTCAAAATCCCCACTTGATCACAGCATCCACTTGGTGACTTTGGGTCATTCTTTTTCAGTTCAAGCTACTTCACAGGGTTGTTAGAGTTAGAATTAAGTATAGAGCTCTGAGATAAAAGACAGAATATGAACACTATTAATAAATGAATATCTAGGGAACTGGGCATTGGCTGAAGAGCTGCATACCGTCCATGGACTATGGGTTAGCAATTTTATTTTACAGTGACCAACCCACAGACATGACCTCTAAGCCATATAGGCCTCTAATCAAAATAAAACATATACTTCTGAATTAGCAGAGTTTACCAGCAATTTAATAAACCAAATCAAACCACTTTTTTACAATAAAGAAATTATCAGTAATAATTAATAGGAGGCATCACGTTTAAAGAAGTATTCTAAGACAAAGTCTGGCAACTGAAAAAGGGACAGAGTAGAATTCACTGGATGGATCTGAGGATTCTAGAGAAAAATCAGAAACTAAAGAAAGAGATCTTGAATTTAGCTTATTTGGACCTCCTAAACCAAAGTGGGAACTGAAATGAATTCCGCCATTTTCCAAATTTTTACAATGGAGTTTTAACTTGTAAAACATGCACTTAATAATATATACATTTAAACTAATTAAAATCTGTAGTCCCAACATATGTTGGCCAATAATATTTTTAAATATTATTATTTATTAATAATATTAATAATAATATTATTAAATAATAATCTTTAATAGTAAACTTATCTACTTGTTGATACTGTATTAATAGTTAGCTTTTTGGGGAAAAACTGTAATATCATATCCAGTTGGTCAGACCAGAAAATCCCGTTATTACCAGAAATAACTATATTGGGTAGACTGGTATTAGTAACAAACATTTTGCTCTTACACGCAATATCCTGAACTAAAATAACAATGACAACCTGGAATCACAACCCTGGAAAAGTTGATCAAGGTTTGTGATATTGCATGAATGAATAAATTAACCTATTATGTATACATTCGCAAAAGAGAAATGTACGAGAGAACCTGTGATACCAGTTTAGAACCCAATTATTTTATTAATAATTTTGTTACAGAACTTGAATGGTGCTTTTATTACTCAGGCTTATATGGCACTTCATATCACTCTAAGCGGTATACACTCCAATTCAATAAACAGGATAAAAAAATACAACAGCATAATGCGACAGTAATAGAAATAAAATCATATTACATCCAGAAATTATCACGCCAAAATAACTAAACCATCACTTGGTTGTATTGTGTTAAGCCAGGTATTAATAGATTTCTTAAACACCAATAGGCTTTCAGGAGAAACGCTATTCCACAGAAGGGGGGCATCAGAGAAAAAGACCTGCCCTCAAGTCTTCTTTTAGACTGGGATTTCAAAAGGAAACCTTTGCTCCAAATCCTGTGGGGCAGGCAGATACCATTGGGGGTAGGTAGACCTAAACATATCCAGGTCCTGAACCACATAGAGCATGAAAGGGGACTATCAGCACCTCGAATCCATCTAATAATTAGTGTAGCTCCCAAAAAGGAGAGCCAGTCTGGAGTAGCGGTGAAGGCAACAGGCTAGAAAGCAGGAGATGGAGAGTTCTAGTCCCGCCTTAGGCATGAAAGCCGGCTGGTGACTTTGGGCCGGTCACTCTCTCTTAGTCCAACTCACCTCACAGGACTGTTGTTGTGGGGAAAATAGGAGGACAAAGGAGTATTAGGTATGTTCGCTTCCTTGAGTTATTTATAAAATAATAATAATAATAAAGGCGGGATAAAAAATCTAAAAAAAAAGTGTTGTCAAAACGAGAAGCAACAGTTACAATTCAGGCCACAGCATTCTGTGGATAGTGTAATTACTAAGAGGAAAAAGAAAATATTTGTTTGAAGAATAGTCTGTTCTTCCCTCCAGGTTATCAGGGAATGTTCAGATGTGTGGGTCTGGGTATAAGGGAGAGAGCGTTTGTGTATAGGAAGCTGTTTTAAACCATACCAGATCCTTTATCTGTACTGTAATTTTCTGCACTGATTGGATATGAAATGTCACAAATTACCCTTGAAACCTTTTTAATTCAAGTACCAGTTCTAGTTCTACAGTAAATTATGACACCACCACCCCCGCTGAATTTATTTTATTGGAGATGGGGAGCCATAATTTTAAAAATGCAGTCAGGATGCAAGGTTTCCAGTGAAAATCATACAGGAAAAAAAAATTTCCAGTACTGTTGTACAGTAGCATTTGTGATTCCTGGAAGGGAGGGAGGGAATCGATTTTGGAGGACAGCTATACACAATTGAATGTCACATGTATTTCGGCCCTCAGAATGGGAATCTTGGCATTATGTAGTTGTCAGTCTTACAATGGAGGGATGGTTTTTCACTATCAAAACAATTGTGCAAGACAAGAAGGAGGGAACTGGATAAAAATACTACATAAACCTCAGGTGTTCAAGACAAGAATATGTGAAGGGAAGACACTGTTCTTGACTTTTCAGTCCCTGATTAAATTCTGAAGTGAAGATGTACAGGTAGACCTCGCTTAATGACTGCCCTGTTTAGTAACTGTTCAAAGTTACTATGGCACTGAAAAAGTAACTTTATACCTGGTCCTCACATTTATGATTGTCGCAGCATCCTTCCAGTCACGTGATTGCCATTTAGGTGCTTTACAACCTGCAAGCATTTACGACCATTGCCGCATCCCAGGTCACATGACTGCCATTTGTGCACTTCACAGCTGGCTTCCAACAAGCACAGTCAATGGAGAAGCCAGCAGTAAAATCGCAAGTCGCAGCCATGTGAAGTCTCACTTAACGACCATGGGTGATTCACTTGACAACCACAGTGAAAATGAGGTCGTAAGCCCACCGCAGTCACCTGATGTTTCACTTAACAACCGCATCGCTTAGTGATGGAGTTGCTGGTCCCAACCGTGGTCATTAAGCAAGCACTACTTGTATTTGTATTGGATGAATGGAGCTACAACTCTCTGCACATTACATGCAGAGTAATGCATGGAGCCTGTAATTGCATTAAGACAAATGTAGCTTCTCACCCCACCCCACCCTTCAGACCTAACTTGTCAAATTGAAACTGAAGAGGATGGACCCAAGATGCGTGTCCTATTTCCTTCCTTATGGATTTCTTTCCATAATAAGGCCAATATTTTAAGGGCAACCCTCCCATTTTTCCAAGCTGAATTTCACAGGCTCTGACACCAGAAATAGAGCTGTGTATAATTTAGATTTTAATGAGCCCTATTTCTCTACGGTTCACAACATAGTCCTAATAGTGCTTGAATATAAAACAAAATACCCAGAAAACATCAGTGGCCAGAATGATTTATCAATGTCATAATTAGATAAACAGTGACATAGGGATCCCTGTCTCTAAAAATTCAGTCTTGCTACAAATTTGTTCAGTGCATTTCTGCTTTATTATTTATTAACCAATTTGAAAGGGAAGGTAAATGGAGTTTTAAAAAGTATTTTAGTTAGGAAACAGAGTTTGCTCAGAAAAAGTACACAAAAAGAGAAAGAGCAGAATTTTTCAGACTTCAGGAATCCTAAGAGGAATTCTGATTAAGTAGTTTTATTCTGTCTGTTCCAAGCAGAACGAGCTCTGCAACCCTGTGCATGTTCATTCAGAAAGAATACCCCATGTATTGAACGGGATTAATCAACTCATTAATCAAGGATTAGGAGAAAACTTTTAAATCCAGCTAAACATTTCATAGCTTCCAGAAAACGATAGAACGGAGGTGTTGGCAATGGATTCAAGGTGAAAATATCAAGAAAGGGCAAAATATTTGCTATCTACTTTGCTTGACTAGCTTAAGCTAAGAACTCATGTTCTTAGAGTAGATCTGCTCCTGGCAAATGCTAATGTAAACTGAGCTGATGCACGCCTCTTCGAGTAAAATTTAAATCAGAATGTTATTAAGTTACTTATTTAATTTATACTCTGCCTTTCAACATATAAATTACTCCATTTTAAATTAAAGATAAAATATACCTATACATAAAACTGAAGAAAAATAGGGAGAAAGTTTAAAAAAAAACAACCAGGAAAATAAAAATATAATTATTTCTTTACTTACTGCAATTGTGGATATTTTGCTTCTTAGGATAATGCTTTCAATCAAGAATTTTACTATGGTTTTTTTAGAAAGCAGCACGGATTAATATAAAAATAAGAGAGAACAGATTTACTACAGGTAAGCACATATAAAAGTAACATGAACGGGAAATAACAGATTTTCCCAGTCCAAGTACAATCTCTCTGTAAATGTCT